TTTCTATCTTTCTGGCGAGTGCACGCACCCTATAGCAAAAACCTCTCCCCCCGCCCCCCACCCCCCCGAAAAGAAGAAGAAACAGAGAGAAAGGAAAGCAAGAAAGTAAGCTGCCAGGTCCGGGACTCAAACCATGGTCAGTCAGCCCCAAAATAAATAATTAAAAAAAAAATAGTAATAAATTAAAAAAGAACGTTGGGTTGGGGCCAGCAGAGTGTGTAGCAATTGCATGGCTGGACTGCCACATGGCCGACTGCAGTTTGAGTCCCAGACCCAGTGGCTTGGGGGTCAGGATGTGTGTGTGTGTGTGTGTGTGTGAGTATGTGCGTGTATGCCTGGGATCCTGGGAAGAAAGTGGAGGGGATTGTGGCATGGCCATCCCCTCTGGGGAGTGGTTACTCATGTTCCCGCTTGCTGTCTCTGTCTCTTTCTCTAGTGAGCACACATACCCTAAGGCAGAAACCTCTAAAAAATAAAATAAGTAGGGCTAGGGATTAGAATTATGAAAAATAGTAAGTAAATAAAAAGAGAGTATTTCATATCCACATGGATCCACTGCTGCCTCTGCCCAATGCCCCTGGTGCCCGCATCCTGGGTCCTATTATCACCAGATTCCATGACTACATCACCACTCCTCCTGCTGCAGCCAGTGCCCTAGCCATATGCCCAGCCCTCCAATAAACTCAGCATGGGGACCAGCAGGTGGCGTGGTGGTTAAGGTGCTGGACACTCCCACATGGCTGACCACAGTTCAAGTCCTGGGCTGGGCCTGGCAGCTTGCTTTCTCACTTTCTCACTCTCTGGTTAAATTAAAATATATGAATGAAAAAATAAAATAAAATAAATAAATATATATATATATATACACACACACATAAAAGAAATTAAGCATGCAGTGAAGGCACAGGCCTTCTAAGACCTTGTAGACCCTGAATCTATAGCTGTGGCTGCTGCGAGCTACATATCCAAGGTGACAAAGTTGTTGAATCCTTGAATGATTAAATCAGGAGGGAAAGAATTCAGAAGTGTAAGTCCCTTCCCAAGATGTCTAGGGGAGGGAGCTACAAGTGGAGGAGACAGAAGCTAAATTAGTGGGAAAGTTGCAGGAGAAAAGATCACTGTGACTTTCAATACTAGCAATGGCATTCCAGCAACATTTGAAGTTGAGTAGGAGTCCTCATAAAGACAGAAAGTTGAAGAACAAGAGCCTGATTAACATTAACTCCCAGTTTTGTGGTTGGCATTACAAAGAATGATAGCAAGAAGGCCCTTGTGCTAGACTGTAACTAACCTGAGGGAGAGGTTGAACAATAAGAGGCTGAGTGACATTTTTCTCTATCAGGAAAGTTAGCTTTCAGTCTACTGGTGTATCTGAATGGAAGGACACTATACACTCAGATTCCCGGACTGAACCTTGTATGAACACTTAATGCATTCCCTTACAGCCCAAAGGGTAGACAATGCTTCTGCCCTTTTGCCAATGAGTTGGTAGAACTCAGCACAGCTCTAAATCATCAAGAGCAAATTACTTTTCTTGAAGACCTCGAAGGTTTTATCAGGAGCTAGTAAAGCAAAAATACTGAAAGCCTGAATTTTATGGCAGGCTTTGGCCAATGAACAAAATCTACTCTGAAGTCAGACACATATGCTTTGAAAGGATATCACAATATGTGAAAAAAAAAAAAAAGCAAATATAAGGCATTTCCTATTTTGCTATCACTCAGTATTCATTTGATTTTTTTCCTTCATAAAATTATTGTGTTTGGATTTTTGTGTAATGTAATGATGGATGATAGAGTCAATTCATATTCTTTGAAAAATAAATACAGGGGCCAGCGGGTAGTGTGGTGGTTAAGGCACTGGACTTCCACATGGCTGACTGTCACTTTAGTCCCAGACCTGGCAGCTTGAAATTCATGACAGGTGCATGTGCATGCATGCCCAAAAAGTCCATAGAAAAGAATGAAAGAGAAGGGAGTGCAGCATGGCCATCCCCGCTATTGGGTGATTTCTCTCTCTCTCTCTCTCTCTGGCAAGTACACACACCCTATAGAAAAAAAATCCCTTAAATAAATATATAAATAAAAAGACCACTTTGGGGGCTGGCCCTGTGCCCAATGATTAAGAGAGCCAGATCCCACATGCCACATGGTTTGTGTCCCAATTAGATGGATTGTAAGACATGCCAGCCATGTGTGCAGGATAGAGAAATGAACTAGAAGGGATTGCAGCATGATCATGCCCATTGTGGGGGGCGTTCTTCCACTCCTCTCCCTAGTAAGCACATGCTTATGATGAAATTAAAACAAAACAACCCCCCATGCACACACGTTATACACACACACACGTGTGTATACATATAACATAAATGTGTGTATATATTGCTTAGTGGCCAGCACAAGACTGTGAGCCAAGAACAAAGGAAGGCCAGTTTTCTAGCCTTTGGGACAAAAGGAGCCTCTGGGACCAGCATATGGCATAATGGTTATGTCGCTGGACTCTACATGGACAACTATGATGCAAGTCCTGGTCCCAGTGGCTTGAAATGCATGCCAGGCACATGTGTGCACATATGTGCCCAAAATCCTAAGGGGAGAATGGAGGACAAGGGATTACAGCGTGGCCAACCCTCTTGGGGGAGTGATTTCTTGCTTTCTGTCTCTTCGTCTCTGGCAAGCGTATGTACCCTATAGCAAAAATTTCTCCAAAAAAAAAAAGACTGGGCAGCAGGTGACATGGTGGCTAGGGTGCTGGACTCTCACATGGTTGATCATAGTTTGAGTCCCATACCTGGCATCTTGCTTTCTCACTTTCTCTCACTCTCTTTAGCTCTATCTCTCTCTGGTCAAATTAAATTAAAAAAAAAAAAAAAATAAATAAAGTTAAATAAAATAATCCTTAGAAAAATAAAAAAGATACTTTAAAAAATTTTAAAGGATTATTTTAACTTTATTCATTTATTCATTTATAAAAAAAAAAACAACGAATAATAACAAATGAAGAAGAAAATAAAATAATTCTTTAAAAAAAATAAATAAATGGCTAAAGGGTCCTTTAACTCACCTCAGTCATGGTAGACTAGAGTCAGTGGCCTCTTTTAAGCTCCTCCTCCTTTCTCTCCATGTGTCTGGCTGGCAGGGCTTTGGAAAGAACAAGGGAGCTGGGAGAAAATCTCCCTTCTTTGCATGACTGACTCCCTGTCCATGCTGGATGGATGAGTCTCCAAAGTATCCAGATGTGTTAAGATATATCCCAACGTCAGTCTCTCTGCAGAAATCACAACAACAATTCTATTCACTAAAATTTGGTCAGCCCCACATTTCCATTGTACTTCAGAACCTTCAAAGCAATTTCAACAGCATTCTTAGTTTGAGAGACTTACTGCTAAAGGTCCATCACCTCAATGGGACCTTCATCTTACTCACTGCTGTGTATGAGCACCAGCAAAGTGCCTGGCATAAAGGATATGCTTTGAAATATTTGACAGAGACGGACCAGCAGTTGGCATAATGGCTACATTGCTGGACTCCATGTAGTCAACCGCAGTTCGAGTCCCGGACCTGGTGGCTTAAACTCATGCCAGCGTGTGTGCCCAAAATCCCAAGAGGAGAATGGAGAAGGAACTGCAGCATGGCCATCCCCTCAGGGGATTATTTCTCGCTTTCTGTCTCTCTCTGTCTTTCTGGCAAACGTACGCGCCCTATAGCAAAAACTTCTCCAAAAAAAAAAAGAAAGAAAAAAAAGAAATATTTGACAGAACAAATGGGTTAAACTAAACTCCTGGAGAAAAGATTCTGGAATGTCTGATTATCAACTCTAGGATCTGAGTCCAAGTGAATTGGCCACAAGAGTCCAAAACTGTTGCTATTTCTACACCAGTAATATTTCTTTAGTTTTCTTCCGTTCTTAGAAAGCATGTTTTCAGGGGTGGCCCTGTGGCCTAGTGGTTAAGTAAACCAGATATCAATGCATGTATTTTCTTTTTTATTTTTTTGGAGAGGTTTTCGCTATAGGGCGCGTGCGCTCGCCAGACAGAGAGAGACATAGAGACAGAAAGCGAGAAATCACCCCCCAGGGAGGATGGGCACGCTGCAATCCCTTCTCCTCCATTCTCTTCTCGGGATCTTGGGCACGCATGCACATGCGCCCAGCGTGTTTTTTAAGCCACTGGGTCCGGGATGCGAACCGCAGTCGACTACGTGGGAGTCCAGCCACATAGCCATTACGCTAACTGCTGGTTCCCAATGTGTGTGTGTATGTTTAAGAAAGGTTTTCGCTAGAGGGTATGTGCACTCGACGGAGAGACAAAGATAGACAAAGAGACAGGAAGCGAGAATTCACCCTCTGGAGGATGCCCACACTGCAATCCCATCTCCTCTGATCTCCTCTTGGGATTTTGGGCATGTACACACATACACACATGCACCTGGTGTGACTTTTAAGCCACCAGGTCCAGGACTTGAACCGTGGTCAACTATGTGGGAGTCCAGCAATGTAACAATTATGCCATCTTCTGGCTCCCAAGTAAACCAGATTCCATATGGCTGATCATGGTTTGAATTCTGGCCCCAGTGGCTTGAAAAGAATATGGGGTACATGCCCAGGATCCCAACAGAATGGAGAAATGGAGAAGGGATTAAAGAGTGCCCATGACCCATTGGGAGGTGCTCTCTCCCACACCCTCCATTTCTCTGTAACCTTCGGGTGATTAAAAACAAAAAAAAAAAAAGAAAGAAAGAAAGAAAGAAAAGGTTTTTGCATGTAAAGGTGAAGGGGGTAAGTAGAAGGAGGGAGAGAGGAAGGAAGGGTCTCATCATGCAATTATTCCTTTTCCCTAGCCCTCTAAGTCCTTGGGATCCTAGGCACCCATGCCAGCATAGACCTGAGATTCAAACTGTAGTAGCCATACAGTTTCCAGCCCTGTAAGGCACTAGCTTCACCAGTGTACCACAGCAAATAGGCTCAATGTTTTTCCAAAATCAGGACTCATAGTAACAAGGACAATATATAAGTATAACATGAGTATTAATACACATGGGTAATTAAAGAGAACTTCATGAAACTCTTACAACATAGGATGTACTGATTTTTTTTTTTTTTGGAGAGGTTTTCGCTATAGTGAGCGTGCGCTCGCCAGACAGAGAGAGACATAGAGACAGAAAGCGAGAAATCACCCCCCAGAGGGGATGGTCATGCCACAATCCCTTCTCCTCCATTCTCTTCTCGGGATCTTGGGCACGCACGCACACGCGCCCGGCATGAGTTTTAAGCCACCGGGTTCGGGACTCAAACCGCGGTCGACTACGTGGGAGTCTGGTGACATAGCCATTACGCTAACTGCTGGTTCTCTGTACTGATATTTTCTATTTTTGTTGCTTTTATTCTACTTCATTAAAAAAAAAATCAAAGTCACTATCCACTGAGTTATTTTTGTGACCCATAATAACCAAAACACTATCATAGAGGGTTTTTTTTTTACACATTTGTATCTGCTGTGTACTTTCCAAGTAGCATTATCTATGCAGTATTGAAAGTGCTCCATCACAAAGCAGCAGGACAACTTAACAATAACACAATTATAAAGCACTTCATCCACAATTTTTTAAAAAAAGAATTATTTAATTTAATTTAATTTATTTATTCATCCACTTTAATTTGATCAGAGAGGGGGAGAGGGGAAGAGAGAGAGAGAGCGCATGCGCAAGCAAACCTCCAGGGACTCAAACTGCGGTCAGCCATGTGGGAGTCTAGTGCCCTTAACCACCATGCCACCTGCCGGCCCCATCATCCACAACTCTTAAACTTATGGGGTCAGATGGTCTTCAGAATTCAAAAGTATTTAGATTGAAAAAAAAGTATACAGATTGAGAGACCAGCAGGTTGTGTGGTGGTTAAAGGTGCTGGATTCCCACATGGTCGACTGCAGTTCAAGTCCTAGACCTGATGGCTTGCTTTCTCACTTTCTCTTCTCTCTGTTCCTCTCTGGTCAAATTGAAATAAACAATGAATAAAGAAATAAATACAGTTAAATAAAATAATTCTTTAAAAATATATTCAGATTGAAAAAGGTGATACAGGGCCCGGCAGATGGTGTGGTGATTAGAGGTGCTGGATTTCCACATGGCCAACTGTAGTTCAAGACCTGGACCTGGTGCTTGCTTTCTTGCTTTCCCTCTCTGTCTCTCTGGTCAAATGAAAATAAATGAATAAATGAATAAATAAATAAATAAATCTTGGATTTTTTTTAAAAAGAATTACTTAATTTTATTTATTTTAAGAATTACTTATTTAATTTTATTCATTCATTCGTTCATTTTTAATTTGACCAGAGAGACACAGAGAGAGAAAGCGGTAAAGTGAGAAAGCAGGATTCAAACTGTGATCAGCCATGTGGGAATGTCCAGCGTCCCAACCACCACGCCACCTGCTGGCCCCCAATTTATTATTATTTTTTTAAGCATTCAAAACTTGGGAACCAGCAGTTAGCGTAATGGCTATGTCGCTAGACTCCCACGTAGTCAACCGTGGTTCGTGCCCCGGACCTGGTGGCGTAAAACTCACGCCGGGCATGTGTGCATACGTGCCCAAGATCCTGAGAGGAGAACAGAGTTGAAGGGATTGCAGCGTGACCATCCCCCCTGGGGGGTGATTTCTCACTTTCTGTTGATTTTTCACTTTCTATCTCTCTGTCTCTGTCTTTCTGGAGAGCACACATGCCCTATAGCGAAAACCTCTCCAAAAAGAAAAGAATTCAAAACGTATTTATTTATAGGCCTACCTGTAGCATAGTGGCTAGGCAGGCTGGCTCTTTTTAATTTTTTTTTTTTAAATTTTTTGGAAGAGGTTTAATTTTTGCTATAGGGCGTGTGTGCTCACCAGACAAACAGAGAGAGAGACAGAGAGAGACAGAGAGACAGAAAGCGAGAAATCACCCACCCAGGGGGGATGGCCACGCCACAATCCCTTCCTCTCCGTTCTACTCTCAGGATCTTGGGCACATACGCACACATGCCCGGTGTGAGTTTTAAGCCACCGGGTCCGGGACACAAACCATGGTCGACTACATGGGAGTCCAGCGACATAGCCATTATGCTAACTGCTGGTCCCTTAAAACTTATTTTAAGAATTATTTTTATTAAACATTCATTTATTTTATTTTGACCAGAGAGGGACAGAATGAGAGACAGAAAGTGAGAAAGCAAGCCTCCAGGTCTGGGATTCGAACCACAGTCGACCATGTGGGAGTCCAGTGCCCTTAACCACCATGACACCTGCCAGCCCCTTATTGTTATTATTTTTTAATTTGACAATAGAGACAGAGAGAGAGAGAAGGAGAAGGAAAGTGAGAAAGCAAGCTACCAGGTCTGGAACTTCTGTGGCTGGCCATGTGGGAGTCAAGCTCCTTAACTACCACACCACCTGCCAGTCCCAATAAACTTATACTTCAACTTCATTTTCCCACGAACTTCTTGAAGTCTCCTTATAATTCTGTTGATAGATGATGCATATGGCCACAGGATCGGCAGATAGAATGTTTTAAAGGAAATCTTTTAAGTCACCCCAAACCTGAAAGTTGGAAATTTCACCTGAAAGTTAGATTTCTAGCTTCTGAAAATCTTAAGATTTGGCAAGGCTGAATCTGCATTCCCTCAAGCTATCTCACTAAAGTCCATTTACCCTCTTTTGGGACCAGGAGATGGCATAATGGCTATGTCGCTGGACTCCACCTAGTCAACTGTCGTTCCTGGACCTGGTGGCTTAAAACTCATGCTGGGCGTGTATGCACACAACATCCCAAGAGGAGAATAGAAGAGAAGGGATGGGATATGACCACCTCCCCCCCCCCCGGGAGATGATTTATCATTTTCTCTGTCTCTCCAGTGAGCACATACACCCTATAACAAATATCTCTCTAAAAAAGAAAGAAACTTATAAGTTACGCTCCTTGAATGGCAAATGTTTCTAATGCCCAATTCCCAGGGCAGTTCTTGACTATCCAAGGGTTTGTGGAAAAACAGAATTAGAGTGTGAGTTTGTTTGGAAGCAACAACTACAAAATTGAAATCCATGCACAGTTCTTCCATAATACACATTTTCCATGAAGTTTTTTTTTTTTTTTTGAGAGGTTTTTGCTATAGGGCGTGTACACTTGCCAGCCAGACAGAGACAGAGAGACAGAAAGCAAGAAATCTCCCCCAGGGGGGGATGGCCACACGCAATCCCTTCTCCTCCATTCTCCTCTCGGGATCTTGGGCATACACGTACATGTGCCTGGCCTGAGTTCAAGTCACCGGGTCCGGGACTCGAAACACAGTCGACTACGTGGGAGTCCAGCGACATAGCCATTACGCCAACTGCTGGTCCTTCCATAAAGTTTTTGAAGATCCCAGGGCTGGGTTCTCCCAATAACTATGTGTTTCAGACCTCTGTCTAGGGTCCAAACCTCATCTCTCCATATTTCTTACACTCCCAGCCCTGGAAGCAAAGAAACAGAGGCTTGAGTTGAAGCCAAAGGTCATTCAGCTCATCAAAGTGATTTAGGCCAAACAAACATGGGGCTGAAAAACATTGGGCCCTGGAATCTTGCTATCTCATAGCAAGTATAGCACCATGACTAACTAGATCAATTATTTTCTCTAAGCTTTAGTTTCCATGTGTACAAAATGGGGCAAATACAAAAGATTCACAGTCCCTTATCTACAACTCCCAAAAATAAAATGCTCTGAAAACCATAACTTTATTTATAAGTTGACAGGAAAACTTATAACTTGAACTACTACAGACTATGTTACCATGTTTAGTCTTTATTCCCTTTGGTGTGGATATTCACAGGCTTTCCTGCAGAAATATTTGACGACCAGGAATTTTCCTAGACCCCTCTGGAGTGTTGCTTTATTATGAAACAGGTTGAAAGCTACCCTATTAGCTTTCAAAAAGAGAGAAAAATTATAATTCCTGGTGTCAGGGGCATCCAATTTTAAAACCAAGGACCTGTACTAATGCTTCAGTGCTACTTCGGGAATCAGAAGGTAAAACGTTAGGGACCAGCAGATGGCATAACGGTTACATCGCTGGACTCCCCGTGAAGCCGACCACGGTTGGGAGTACCGAACCTGGTGGCTTAAAACTCACTCCTGTCGCGTAAGTGTGCATGCCCAAAACCCCGAATGAAGAAGGGACTGCCACTTAGCCATCCTCCGGAGAGGTGATTTGTTGTTGTTGTTGTTGCATTTTCTCTGTTGCTTCTTCAAGCACAGGGGTCCTACAGCGAAAATCTCTATATAAAAATCGGGGAGGGGGGGAGGTAGTGGATGAGAGTACTATACAGCGCCTGGCACACAAAAAGTGCTTGAATAAATGTTAAATACTTCAGCCTCTTGAGGAACTCCTATTTATCCCTCAAGATCCTGCCGTGATCTGCCGATCTTAGGTAACTCGTCCCCCTCCCCCGCTTCGCTTCGGTTTCCTCAATCAAAAATAAAACAAAACCTCTCAGGGCTGCCAGTGAGGGCTGCAAACAACTTTGGTAAGAGCCTTGTTGAAGACAGACTGAACAAGTGTTCAATCCCCTATCAAGTCACCCACCGCCCAAGGCAACTCGTCCTTTGCCGAATTCGCCCCATTACCATTCCGTCCTCCTCAGGAAGGACCGAGCCGGCGAGCTCTAGAGTCCCAAGAACCCCAGACTCTTTGCCTCCGTACCTCAAGATTGTCGTCCGCTGTGTCAACAGACGCCACTTCAGACAGTCCCGCCACTTCAGAGAGCCAGGAGAGAGCGGAAGACCCAAGCCCTCTCACACACGCTTCCTCTCAGCAACTTCCGGTACCGAGCGAGTCTCCTTAGAGCTACTACTCCCAGAATCCCCCGCGCCAAAACTAGGACTAGTTCCTAGAGGGCTGTGCGAGCTGCTTCCGGTGCCTTCCCAGCTCCACCCACTTTTTCGTCCTTAGAGGCCGCGCTGAGGACTCTGGGAAATAGAGTAGAAGTAAAATCGGGACTTGAGGTTTTTAAGTCCAGCTTTTACCCCGTTTGCGAATCACCTAATCAACAGTCTGACTTCCGTAGACGACTTAGACACTTCTCATCTCTGAAGCAGATAACCAGAAGGTTGCTATGGAAATGGGTTGAGAACGAAGTTCGGATTTCTCAGACGTGAAGGGGGTGGAGCTGAGAGAGAAGTGATGTATCCTCTCATTGGTGGAGAGACGCCTCGTATTCGTCCCGATTGGCTCCACCTTGGCACGTGCGCAGTAGAACCAGGAGGCGTTCCAAGGAGGGTGGCCTGGGTATGGGTGATGAGAGCATAATCCCTTTCCGGTCCCGATCCTGCCGCGAAGGCTTCTGGGAAATGGAGTTCTCTGGTATGCTGTGGTCTGGGCAGTCAGCAAGTCAGCGGCGCCTGCGCGGGCTTCGTCCGGCCTCTAGACAGAGGATGCGCGCGCAGCGCCTTCGGCTACAGCGGAAGTTTTAGCGGGGCAACTGAGAAAGGTGAGTCCTAGCCCCTGCGGAATATCCTAGAATCTGGCGGGAGATACCCAGGACTCCACGCCTCTCAAGTACAGAAGTGAGAACAAGGCGAGGCGGAGCAGTGAAAAAGGCTTCCCAGTCCTCTGGCCGTAACTGAGCCGGGGTGCCTGTGACGTCAGCGCAACCCTCTGTGGGCGGCTTGGTCCGCTTCTATCGGGGTGGGGATAGGAGGGGTGCCTGGTCGCGAGAACCTCCGCGGGTCTTTGCGCTTGCGGAGCCGCTTTCGGCTCCGGGTGGTGGGCGTGGCCAAGGTGGAGACGGGCGGAGCTTGGCAGCTACGTAATCCCCGGGTTTTTCCGGGTAGGGTGGCGCTGAAGTTGCGTCGTTGTCTCCTAAGCAACCGCCCCACCAGCGATCCGCCGGTGTGAAGTCAAACCGGAGGAACACGATAGCTGACACATAGCAAATGTTCAGTACATATTAATTGAAAAAGGGTAGGAGCCTTGGGTTTAAGTCCAGAGCTGGCTTTGTGACCTTGGACAGGTGACTTCAGCACTCAGACAACGTCTTTCTACCATTCATATTTATTGAGTGTTCATTACATGTAAGGTTTTGTGCAGAAGACACTGCTATTCTGTGTGGAGTGTCTATCCTGATAGATTGGCACAATTCTAAGCTTAGGTTGTTGTAATGTCTAAAAAATTGTGCTCAGTAATTTATGTTCTGTCAGCCTGAAATAAATCTGACCCTGGGCCAGCAGGTGCCATTAGTGGTCAAGGTGCTGGGCACCCACATGGACCACCGCTGTTGGAGTCACGTACCTGTGACTTAAAAATCACCATGGGTGTATGTGTGTGTGCCTAAAATGCCAAGAGGAGAATGGAGGAGAAGGGATTGCAGCCTGGCAGTCCACTCCCCAGGGTGATTTCTCGCTTTTGCTCTCACTGATTGTGTGTCTCTGGCAACCACAAACGCCCTATGACAAAAACCTAAAAGGAAAAGAAAGACAAATCTGACCCAACCTTGCCAAGCAAGACAAAAACGGCTTATTCAAGCCAAAGCTTGTGGATTCACTGGAGGACAAAGACTTCAGAAAACTGTCACCAGTGCTCCAAAATGGTGGATTTGGGTTTTTTTCCAATAGAGAAAGAGAACAAAGGGAAGACAGTGGAGAGGAAAGTTACAAAGATAGATGTTGCAAAATTGTTTCTCAGGGGTTTACTTGTTTCTCATTAGTTAATTTTAACATGAAGTTTTATTGTCTGTGCACTGTTTCAAGGCTGAGTTTCTGTGACTACAATCTTTTGTGCCACAGCCCAGAATACTAGAGTCAGCTCTTTTACCTTCCTAATGGTCAGCAGTGGCTAAAGTCTCACATCCTCATTCTTCTCAAGGCCTGATTAATTTAAAATGCCTTCCTAATCTTACTCTGTTTTTCTTCAATTCTAATGGTTTTGGGGGAAAGCCAGACATTAACAAAATAAAGAAGTAAATTCATTCTTTTTCTTTTGAGAGTTTTTTCTTTGCTATAGGGTGCATGCTTGCCAGAGAGACAGAAAGCAAGAAATCACCCCCCTGAAGGGAATGGCAACACTGTAATCCCTTCTCCATTCTCTCAGGATCTTGGGCAGGCATGCACATGCGCCCTGGTGTGAGTTTTAAGCTGCTGGATCTGGGACTCAAACTGCGGTTGACTGTGGGAGTCCAGTGATGTAACCATTACACCATCTGCTGGTTCCATAAAGAAGTAAATTCTAGGGGGATCAGCAGGTGGCATGGTGGTTAAGGTGCTGCACATTCCCACATGGCCGACCACAGTTTGAGTCCCAGACCTGGTGGCTTGCTTTCTCACTTTCTCTCTTTCTGTCTCTTTCTCTCTCTCCCCCTCTGTGTCTCTCTCTAGTCAAAATAAATGTATGAATAAATAATTTTTTCTTTAAAAAAAGAAGTAAATTGTACAGTATTGTACAGGCAGCTGGCTCCATGTCCTAGTAGTTATGGGGACTCAATTCAGCTGCACTTTGAATCCTGGCCCTGGCAGCTTGAAAAACACCCCAGCCATGTATACATGTATGCTCAAAAATCGGAAAGGTTGGCAGAGTGGAGGAGAAAGGATTGTGCCATGACAGTGCCCCAATGGGGAGTGCTTTCTCTCTCTTCTGCACTCTCTCCCTCTCTCTCTGAAAAGTGCATGGACCCTCTGGCAATAAGAGAAGAAAGAAAGGAAGGAAGGAAGCCCCTCAACAGCCTCTTTACACCATGATCCCTTTTCCCTGGCCCACCAGCTCCTCAGGATCTTGGGCAGTGGCAGGCACACACAGTGTTTTTTTTTTTTTTTTTTTCTTGGAGAGGTTTTCGCTATAGGGCGCGTGTGCTCGCCAGACAGAGAGAGACATAGAGACAGAAAGCAAGAAATCACCCCCCCAGGGGGGATGGTCATGCCACAATCCCTTCTCCTCCATTCTCCTCTCGGGATCCTGGGCACGCACACACACACACACACACGCACCCAGTGTGAGTTTCAAGCCACCGGGTCTGGGACGCGAACCGCTGTTGACTACGTGGGAGTCCAGCGACATAGCCATTACGCTAACTGCTGGTTCCCCACACATAGTGTTTTTTAAGCCAGCCAGGATTCCAGCCACAGTGACTAGACGGTCTTCAGCACTGCAGAGCACAAACACTACCGTTTCATCACAGTGGTGAGCCCTCATTTGTTTACTGGCTTGTCCCTCCCCACCACACTGAGCTTTCTGAGGTCAGAGCTATTTGTTTCCTTTGCTGCCGTCTCCCAGTGGCTGGCACGTTCAGTAATTGCTGAATGAGGGAATGGAAGGACTCAGCGCATGCTGGGTATCACAGCCAGTGCTCAGTGAATGTCAGCTGTTATCTTTCATTTCATTATTCTTTTTTTTTTCTTTTGGAGAGGGCACGTGTGTTTGCTACAGGGCACGTTGTGTTTGCCAGAGAGACAGAGAGACAGAAAGTGAGAAATCACCCCCCAGGGGGGATGGCCACACTGCAGTCTCTTCTCCATTCTCCTCTCAGGATCTTGGTCATGCACACACATGCGCCTGGCGTGAGTTTAAACCACAGGGTCTGGGACTCAAACCTCAGTTGACTACATGGGAGTTCAGCAACATAGCCATTATGCTAACTGCTGGTCCCTCACTTCATTATTATTTTGTACATTCAGTTGCTATGCATCATGTGGCTTGTAAAGAGAATTTATCCAACATGAAATACACCTCAGACCAGCCCAGTTGAGAATACTATACATGATATCAATAGGTAATAAACCAATACTGTGTCCCACAAATGTCTTGCCTCTCTTTTTTTTTTTTTCCCTAATTTCCTTCCCTATTTTCTTCCTCTCTCCCACCCTCCTTCCACACTGTCTCCATTGTCCATGTCCTCCAGTCTTTCAGTCTCTACCACAGAGTGCGGATAGTCGGTATATGTATACAGTGGAGACATGTAACACCTTTCTTTCATAGTCTGACTTGCTTCACTCAGCAATAAATCTTCCATATTTGACCACTTTCTATCAAATGCCAGAGTCTTTTTTTTTTTTTTAAATGGCTGAGTATTTTGTAGAGTATATGTGCCACACTTTTTTAATCCATTCATCTGCTCATGGGCATTTAGGTATTTAGTTTGGTTCCATGTCTTAGCAATCATGAATAATGCTGCAATAAACATTGATAGGTAAGCGCTTTTCCAACTGAGCATTCTCCTGTCCTCTGGGTATATACCCAGGAGTAGAATTGCTGGATGATATGGTAGCTTTATTTGTAGGTCTTTGAGGAACCTCCATATTGTTTTCCACAGTGGCTGTACCAATCTACATTCCCATCAACAGTGTAGGAGAGTTCCCCTTCTACCACAAACCCACCAACACTTACCACTTTTTGTATTTTTAATTCTCACCTTTCTTATAGGGCTTAGGTAGTATCTTATTGTGGTTTTAATCTGCACTTCCCTTATGATAAGAGATCTTGATCATTTCTTCATATGCATTTTGGCTGTTTGTATGTCTTCCTTAGAGAGTTTTTTGTTTAGCTCATTTTCCCATCTTTTGATTGGGTTAATCATTTTTTTAAGGCAAACCTGTTGAGTTCCCTGTGTATTCTGGTTATCAATCTTATCTAAGGCATGGTTTACAAAAATATTCTCCCATGCTGAGGGTTGTCGATTTACACTACGTACTGTGTCCTTGCAGAAACTTCTCGATCTGATGTAATCCCACTTGTCTATTTTGGGAGTTCTTGCCTGTGCTTTGGGGGTCTTATTTAAGAAGTTTTTGCTTACCTCAAGGTCTCCCAGAGTTTTCCACCAGTAATTTTATAGTTTGAGGTCTTAAGTTTAGATCTTTGATCCATTTTGAGTTGATTTTTATTAATGGTGAAAGATGGGGATCCAGTTTCATCTTTCTCTGCAGGTGGCTTCCCAGTTTTTCCAGCACCATTTGCTAAAGAGGTTTTCCTTTTCCCACTGGATTGACTGGAATCTTTTGTCAAAAATCAGTTGGCTGTATGTTTTCGGATTTATTTCTGAGATCTCTATTCTGTTCCATTGGTCTACCTGTCTTGTTTTTGTGCCAATACCATGCTGTTTTTATTATTACAGCTTTATAGTATATTTTGAGGTCAGGGAGTGAGATGCCACCCATTCCACTCTTGTGTGGGATTGCTTTGGCAATACGGAGTCTTTTATGATTCCAGACAAATTTATGATTGTCTTTTCTAGATCTGTGAAGAATGTCTCTGGTAATTTAATTGGAATTGCCTTAAATATGTAGATTAATTTGGGCTTGCCATTTTGATTATATTAATTCTTCCAATCCAGGAACATGGGATGTCCTTCTACTTTTTTGTGTCTTTTTAAATATCTTTTTAAAGATTTTCTTAGTTTTCCTTATAAAGGTCTTTGATTTCCTTGGTTAGGTTTATCCCTAATTATCTTATACATTTTGTGGTTATGATAAAAGGGATTCCTTTTCTCCAGTTCTACCTCCATTATCCTGTTGTTCATATATAGAAATGCTATTGACTTTTGGATGTTGACCATTATCCTGTTGTTCATATATAGAAATGCTGTTGACTTTTGGATGTTGGTTTTGTACCATGCCCCTTTATGTTTATTACTTTGAGAAGTTTTTTCATGGATATCTTTGGGTCTTCTATGTATACCATCATGTCTTCTGCAAATAAAGATATTTTTAACTCCTTTATCCCTATTTGAATGCCTTTTATATTATTCTCTTTTCCGATTGCGTTGGCTAAGACTTTGAGAACTATATTGAAAAGGAGTGGAGAAAGCGGGCAGCCTTGTCTTATACCAGTTTTTAGTGGAAGGTTTTTAGCTTTTCCCCATTTAGTATAATGTAGCTATAGGTTTTTCATATATGGCTTTTACTGTGCTGAGAAATGACCCTTCTATGCCAATTTTGCTAAGAGTCTTAATCATGAAGGGATGTTGTATTTCATCAAATGCTTTTTTGCATCGATTGAAATGATCATATGGTTTTATCTTTCTTTCTGTTAATATGGTATATAATGTTTATGGTTTTGCATATGTTGAACCACCCTTGCATCCCTGGAATAAAGCCTACCTGGTTGTGATGAATAATCTATTTTTTATTTATTATTGAATACGACTTGCATGTATCTTGCTGAGTGTTATCTTTTGCTTCTATGTGAAGTGAGCCCAGTCAACTCCCCACCTTTTTTCACTTACAGCACACTGTCAAGATGGAGTTACCAGCCCAGTGAATCCAAGGACCAGACCGCGACCCCATGAAGGTACTGTCCCCTCAGGCACGTGCCCCTGAAGACCAGCTTCTGCTCCTGTGTCGCTGCTGACACACTTCATGCCCAGGAGGCACATTACTGTTGCATGGCAGGACTCACTTGGGAAGGTGCTCACTCCACCTCGGAGGCCTTCTTTATCCCAAGGCAGTAGGCACCTGGAGAATTCCACCTAATATGAAGCCACAACCACTACAGGGACCAACCAGTGGCATGGTGGTTAGGTGGCTGGATCCCACGTGACCGACTACGTGGTTCAAGTCCCAGACCCAGTCATTTGAAAATCATGCCGGGTACTTCTTGTATGTGTCTGCCCAAAATCCTGAGAGGAGAATGGAAGAGAGGGACTGTGGCAAAGATTGGCTCGTTTCCTCTCTCTCTCGAACAAATGCATACACCCTATAGCAAACTTTTAAAAATAAAAATAAAACCACTGCAAATGTTCAGACTTTTCATTTCCATAAGAAATCTAAGCAAGGGGAAACCAGCAGTTAGCGTAATGGCTGTGTTACTGGACTCCCACGTAGTCGACAACAGTTCGCGTCCCGGACCTGGTGGCTTTAAACTCAGACCGGGCGCGTGTGCGTGCGTGCCCAAGATCCCGAGAGGAGAATGGAGGAGAAGGGATTGCAGCGTGACCATCCCCCCTGGGGAGTGATTTCTTGCTTTCTGTCTCTTTGTCTCTGTCTGGCGAGCGCATCCACCCTATAGTGAAAACCTCTCTTAAAAAAAAAAAAAGAAATCTAAGCGAGGCCCAGCTGCAGTAGTGGATGCCACTAAAACCCTGTGTTCCACAGGCTAGGATCGTGTGAGAGGCCCCTGTTTGACTCTTATGACACATAGGGGACCATGTAGATATTCGGGAAGTATTAGGTGTCTCTCCCGCCCCCATCGTATGGTTTAATTTATTATGTGTGCACACACCCATGAGTGAGGCAGAGAGGGGGCACCCTCCCACACAGTCTGGTCATACTGCAGTCCTTTGCCTCCAGCCTCCAGCCTGTCAGATCTTGGGGGCTCGTACGCCTACCCAGCGTGTTTTTAGGCTGACCAGGCGGGGATTTGAACCGTGGTCACCATGTGGAGTCCGGCTTCTCTTGAAAAACACGTTTCCACTTGCACCACGGAGCTAGCCTCCCCATTGTATGTGTATGTGTGTGTCTGTATTTGTATATGTATATGTATATTTTTAAATATTTAATTGTATTTATTATCATTATTTTAATTTGCTATAGGGCATATACACTCACGAGAGAGAGAGAGGAAAAGTGAAAAGCAAGCCGCCAGGTCCAGGACTTGAAATGTGGTCGGCCGTGTGAGTCCAGCGCCTTAAGCACCGTGCCACCTGCTGGCTCCCCACCCCATTTATATAGACACACACATATCACATATACATGTATATATATATATAATTTTTTTTTTAACTTTATCCATTTATTTATTTATTTGGCCCAGAGGGACAGACAGAGAGAGAGAGAGAGAGGAAGCAGCAAGCCGCCAGGTCTGGGACCCGAATCGCGGTCGGCCATGTGGGAGTCCAATGCCCTTACTGCCATGCCACCTGCCAGCCCCCCACATTGTACATTTTAAGAAATAAAAGACGTAATCACAGTCAGAGACCTTGAATGTGCTTCTTTCACACATCCGTGATTGGAGCAGTTCAATACAATTTCACTTACCTCAAGACATCGTGTCTCGGGACCAGCAGTTAGCGTAATGGCTAAGTCACTGGATTCCCATGTAGTCGACTGCGGTTGAGTCCTGGACCCGGCGGCTTAAGCTCACACAGGGCACATGTGTATGTGTGCCCAAGATCCCGAGAGGAAACCGGAGGAGAAAGGATTGCAGTGTGACCATCCCCTGGAGGGTGATTTCTTGGTTTCTATGCTCCCTAAAACAAAAACATCTCAAAAAAAAAAAAGACATCCTGTCTCATTGGGTGTATGTGTGCTACTTTGTAACTGTCCTAGGCCTCTAAGGAGGGACAGGTAGTCAGAAACTTAATGCGAAGGGCAGGAACTCATTTTTGAAGTGGCCACTTGAGGGAGTATGTTCAGGTGGGATAGCTTTTCTTCCCTTCATGACCTCGCCACTGTGGAGAACTTGCTAACTGTCCACAGACAGTGGGTTCAGTTTCTTGTCCGCCTCCTGTTTTCTGCCTCCCTCGTTCTGTTTTGTAGCATGATATCCTTCTGTCCGGAATGTGGCAAAAGTATCGAAGCAGTGTTCAAATTCTGCCCTTACTGTGGGAAACCTTTGCCTACAGAGGAGCATGCGGGGTCCTCAACCTGTGTCAAACCACTTGCGTCAACCTTTCAAGGTAAGAACCAGGGCTTGAGCTTATCCTGGGAGCAGGGGTGAGGTGTTTACATGTGTGTGTGCATGCATGCACATGTGTGGTTAGGGAGGGTGCCCAGAGGACTTTTGCATCCTGTCTGACCCCATTTCTGAGACTGGAGCAGTCCAGAGCTCAGCCTGAACAGCTCTGTATGTTGACAGCTCTCACATTTCTACCTCCAGCCTTCTCCTCCCGTGAGTTCAGATCCATATATAGCACCTGGCCCACTTGACAGCTATTGGATGTCCATGCACATCTCAGCCCGAAGCTGCCCAGAACCGAGCTCCTGGTATTTCTGCCACCACCTGCCCCTTCTGTGGGCTTTCCATACATTAAACAGCAACTTCGTGTACCTGGTGTGTCAGGCCAGAACTGTAGGCTCTTCCTTGAATCTTTTTTCTCTTTCTCCCCATAAATGTCCAGCCATTCGGCAAATCTTACTAACTTACCTTTGAAATCAGGCTTGCCCTGTAGCACAGTGATTAGACTCTGTGCAAAGAAGAACGTGGTTAGGTTCTGTGCAAACAGAGGTTTTAAAAAAGAAATTAGGGAAAAAAAAAAAAACTGTTCATTTTCTTTTCTTTTTTTTTTTTTCTTTGGAGAGGTTTTTCACTATAGGGCGCGTGCGCTCGCCAGACAGAGACAGACAGAGAAACAGAAAGCGAGAAATCACCTCCCAGGGAGGATGGTCACGCCACAATCCCTTCTCCTCCATTCTCCTCTCGGGATCGTGGGCACGCACGCACACGCGCCCGGCGTGAGGTTTAAGCCACCAGGTCCAGGACTCAAACTGCAGTCGACTACATGGGAGTCCAGCGACATAGCCATTATACTAACTGCTGGTTCCCAAAAACCTGTTCATTTTCTTACTAACACAAAGTTTGGAGGGGCCAGTCAGTACTGGAATTGATCCCACATGGCCAACCCCTTCAGCCTGAAAAACACACTGGGTGTGTGGCATGCCCAGAGTCCTGCTGGGACAGAGAATTAGAGGAAAAGGGATTGCAGAGTAACCAGCCCCAGTGGGGGTGCTTCTGTCTGTCTGTCTCTCTTTCTCTCTTACACACAGATGGCATAGTGGTTATGTCACTGCACTCCCATGTGGCCTACTATGGTTCCAGTCCTGGACCCGGTGGCTTGAAAATCACACCAGGGCCATGTGCATGCATACCCAAGATCCCAGGAAGAGTGGAGGGGAAGGGATTGCAGCGTAGCCATCCCCCTTGGGGGACGATTTCTCACTCTCCCTGTCTCTGTCACTGTTTCTGTCTCTCTCCTGTAAGTACACGTACCTTAAGGCAAAAACCTCTTTAAAAAAAAATCACTGCAGACTCAGAACACTTTGAGCCACGCCTTCTACCACCATGCAGGTTCATGCCACCCCCACCTGTCACCTGTGCTGCTGGAGAAGCTGCTTCTCCTGGGCTCCACTCTTCTCTCGCCCCTAGTTTTCATGTGGCCGCCGGAGGGGTAAAACAGCGGGAACTCTACTCATCATCCTTCCCTGGGAGGCCTGATGTGACCAGGGCCCCCTGGTCCCTCCACTGTTTCTTTATACCTCAGCAGGCCTAGGCCTCTGAGCCTTTGCACCCTCATCTGCCTGTGTCACCCACTCTCTCACTTCCTCCAGGTCTGTATTCAGTTGTTAACTTCTCAGAGAAGCCCTGCCCAATGTACCTGATCAAAGTCGCGTCTTCCCCACATGACATGCTCCTGTCCCTTCCCTGCTTTCTGTTTCCTTCCAGTACTCGTATCAACCCTGTTGCACATAGTGTTCTACCGATCTATATTGTGCTCATCTGTGAGCTCCATTAGGGCTTCCTGTTTTGTGACCTGCACTGACTGTGGTTTCGTAACCTGCTGTTTGCACAGTGACTGCCCTCTGGCACAGACGTGAGTCCTGAGAAATCTTATCGAATGGATGAATGAATGAATGAAATAGTAGTGGTAGCTTCTGACCAGTGAAAAGCCCAAGCCCAGCTACCACATTGGTAGGTCAAGGAGGGTTTACTGATCTAAAGCCTGCAGAAGGAGGTCAGAGAGTTCAGCTACGTTCACTTTATATTTGTGCTGCAAGTAATAGAAAATGCAATGTCAAGAGTTAAAACAACAACAACAAAAACTGTTCGTTTTTTTACTAACACAAAGTTTGGAGGGACTCGTCAGTATTGGAATTGTGTTCCCGTGAGGCTGTAAGGGCCTCAGCTCCTGCTGTCTTTTCACTCGCCATCCTTAACATGTGGTTTTTGTTCCCATGCTTTAGCCTCAAGATTTCAAGGTGGCTTCTCCATCTCCAAAGTTGCATCTGCATCCCAGGCAGATAGGAGCAGAATTTGCCTTGGTCCAACTTCAAAGTGTGAGTTTTTAACCCTTGCTTCTCCTAATGGCTCCTATTTTACCCAGCCATCAGACAGTAACTATGTGTGGTCAACCTACCGTGTGCTAGGTGCCATATGAAGGGTCTTCAAAAAGTGTGTGGACAATGCATGTTATGAAAAATCACGTGGGGATTCACAAAACATTTTGCACCAGAATAAACTGGTACTTGAATTCCACTTCTCCACACGCGTTTTGAAGTCCCCTTGTATTTGTCTTGCAGAATGAAGTAGGAGGTGAGCTAGCCCTGGTTTCTGGTCTGTCAGCACTTCCACAGCCCAGCAGGGAACACAAGCCTGGGCTGAGCAGTTGTCAGAAGAGTGCATGACAACAGAAGGAAAGAGATGGCCCGCGGGTCACACTCAGCAGATATGTTTCCAAGTGGGTAGTGTTTTAGCCAAGACTTAGGGAGAGGGAGAGTTAGGTGAAGAGTTGGGGTAAGGCAAGGGGGTTGGGAAAAGGGTTCCAAGCACTGGGGCAGGCATTGGGGAAGGGCCGTGAGGTGAGGGGGGGACCCAGGCATGTAGGAAGAATGAAGGTCACTATTGGCTGGGGCAGACATTGTAGGCTGTGTGGTCTACGGGTAAGGGGTTTGCTCTTTTCCTTTCTTTATTGAAAAAGGCACTCTTCAAAGAAACAGAGTAAGAGAAAATGTCCTCACATGGCATGGTCACATCGCCATCCCTCCTCCATTTACCCATCCTGTTAGGCTATGGGGCATCCATACACACACACCTGGCATGTTTTTCAAACTGCCAGGGCCAGGGATTTGAACATGGGCATGTGGAATCTAGTTACCAAACCGTAGTGCTCAATTACTGTGCTACGAGGCCAGCCCAGGAGTTTGTTCTTAACTGTCAGTCCAGTGGAGAGATGTGGAAGTTTCCACCAAGCAGGTGACACAATGTGATTTGCATTTTGAAAAGACTTCTTTCGTGCTGTGTGTGGAAAATGACAGAGGCACCGAAAGTTAGAGACTGTTCTAGTTACTGTCCAGGGAGCAGTTGGGCTGGCCAAGCTAGTGTCAACTGAAAGGAGAAGACTGTTTATAGCAGTATAATAGGTAAAGCCTCCCCTGTTTTCTTTTAAAATTCTTTTTTATTTAACTTTGTTTATTTTAATTTGACCAGAGAGGGACAGAGAGAGAGACAAAGAGAGAGAGAAAGTGAGAAAGCAAGCCTCCAAGTCTGGGACTCAAACTGTGGTTGGCCATGTGGGAGTCCAGTGCCCTTAACCACCACGCCACCTGCTGGCCCCATTAAAACTCCTTTTATCCAACTTACACGTGTTGGATAAAACATGAGGAGTAGGGGCCAAGAGATGGCACAGCAGTAACACAATTGGGCTCACGTGGGACAGGACCTCAGTTTGAGTCCAGAGGCCTCCCTGAGCATGCCAGGTGTGTTCGTGCTCATGGTTCAGGTGGAGGGGTCAGGGTAGATCGCAATTTGAGGACCCTGTTGGGGTGCCTATTTATTTATATATATATAAAATTAAAGAAATAAATTTAAAATATATATACACATGGACACACATAAGCACATATATACGTACACATGCACATGGAACATTTTTCCTCAGACTTTTGCTGTAGTGCGCATGTGCTTACCAGAGACAAAGAGAGGGAAAGTGAGAAATCATCCCCCAGGGGGGTGGCCATGCCATTGCCACAGGCCGTTCCTCCATTCTCTCTCTTTTTTTTAGAGATAGAGATTTGTGCTATAGGGCCCATGTGCTCACTGGAGAGACGGAGGGACAGAAAGCAAATCACCCCCCAGGGGGGATGGCCACGCTGCAATCCCTTCTCCTCCCTTCTCCTCTCAGGGTCTTGGGCACACACATGTGGATCTGGCATGTTTTAAGCTGGCGGGTCCAGGACTCAAACTGCAGTTGCCTGTGTGTGAATTCAGCGACATAACCATTATGCCATCTGCTAATCCCTCTCCATTCTCTTCTTGGGATTTTGGGCACACATATACATGTCCTAGAATGATTTTTAAGCTGCCCGGTCCAGGACTCGATCTGTGGTCAGCCGTGTGGGAGTCTAGCGCCTTAATCACCATGCCACCAACTGGCCCTTAAAACATCTCCTTTAATATAGGGCAGAGTCGGGAACAACATAAAGCATAATGGTTACGTCACTGGGCTCTCCACGTAGCCAACCACAGTTCGAATCCCGGACCCGGCAGCTTAAAACTCACGCCAGGTTTATGTTCATATGTGCCCAATGTCCCAAGAGGAGAATGGGGGAGAAGGGATGGCCACGTTGCCGTCCCCACGTGGGTGATTTCTTGCTTCCTGTCTCTCTGGCAAGCGCACTCACTTATAACAAAATACAGGGCTGTGTCGCTGAAAGTAGCAAGTCACAGAAGTGAGAAGCGGTAGGGAACAGCAGGTCCACGGGACGAGCAGGCAGTCTGGGTGTGCCGCTTACCCTGTGGCTGGAATTAACAGGTGAGAATGCGTACAAAACACACTTAATATGTTTATTTTTTTAACTTGCACCCTTCAGAGAGGAGGAGAGGAAGAAAGCACTCTCCAGTGGGCGTGGTCATGCCATATTTTCAATCCCTTCTCCATTTCTCCATCCCGTGGGGATTTGGGGCAGACACACATACATCTGGTGTGTTTTTCAAGTCACTAGGGCTGGAACTCAAACCACACAGATGGCCATGTGAGATCCTGCTCCCTTAACCACTAGGCCATAGGCTAGTCCATTAATATGTTTTAAAAATTTGAGAGCCAGCAGATGGTATAGTGGTTAAGGGTGCTGGCCTCCCACATGGCTGACCGTGGTTCGAATCCCAAAGCTGGCAGCTTGCTTTCACCCTTTCCCTTTCTCTCTCTCTGTTCAAAAACAATAATAACAAATGGAATTAAATGAATAAATAAATCTATTTTTTAAATGTATAAAATAGGGGCCACGGCTGGCAAATGGCATGGTGGTTAAGGGTGCTGGACTCCCACATGGCCGACCACGGTTCGAGTCCCAGACCTGGTGGCTTGCTTTCCCTCTCTCTTGCTCTTTCTCACTCTGTCGCTGACTCCCTCTCTGGTCAAATTTAAATAAATAAATACATAAAATTATTAAAAAATAGGGGCCAGCAGGTGGCATGGTGGTTAAAGGCACTGGACTCCCACATGGCCGACCACGGTTCGAGTCCCAGACCTGGTGGCTTGCTTTTTCACTTTCCCTATCTCTCGCTCTCTGCCTGTCCCTCACTCTGTCCCTCTCTGCTCAAATTAAATAAATAAATAAAGTTAAATACAATACTTCTTTGTAAAAAATTATAAAATAGGGACCAGCAGTTGATATAATGGCTATGTCGCTGAACTTCCATGTAGCCGACCGTGGTTTGAGTCCTGGACCCAGTGGCTTAAACTCATGCCAGGCACGTGTGTATGCATGCCCAAGATCCCAAGAGGAGAATGGAGGAGAAAGGATTGCAGTGTAGCCATCCCCCTGGGGGTGATTTCTCTATGTCTCTCTGTCTTTCTGGCGAGCACACGCACCCTATAGCAAAAACTTCTCAAAAAAAAAAAATTACAGAATAAATTGAAACTATACAATGCAACAAAAATTAGTTAAAACTGGGAACCATCAGTTAGCGTAATGGCTATGTCGCTGGACTCCCACATAGTCGACCGCAGTTCACGTCCTGGACCCGGTGGCTTAAAACTCACGCCAGGTGCGTGTGCGTGCGTGCCCAAGATCCCGAGAGGAGAATGGAGGAGAAGGGATTGCGGCGTGACCATCCCCCCTGGGGGGTGATTTCTCGCTTTCTGTCTCTATGTCTCTCTCTGTCTGTCTGGCGAGCGCACGCGCCCTATAGTGAAAAACCTCTCCAAAAAAAAAAATTAGTTAAAACTGAGCGGGCAGGGACCAGCAAATGGCTGGTTGTAGTTATGTCAGTGGACTCCTACATAGTCGACCACAGTTTGAGTCTTAGACCAGCAGCTGAAAACTCACGCCAGGCACATGTGCTTACATGCCCCAAATCTCAAGGAGAGAATGAAGGAGAAGAGATTGCAGCATGATCCCTTAGGGGCTGATTTCTCGCCTTCTGTCTATCTGTCTCTCCGGCAAGTGCACACACCCTATAGCAGGTATCTCTCTAAAAACAAAAAGTTAACCAGGCACGAACCAGCAGGTGACATAGAGGTTAAGGCACTGGATTGTACATGGCCAACTATGCAGTTTGAGTCCCAGATCTGGTGGCTTGAAGTCGTCTTGCTGAATGTGTGTGCGTGCGTGTGTCAGCTATTTGGGAAACAGAAGAAACGGGAGTGTGCTGTGAGGGCTGACGGGAAGGGTGGAGCCGAATGTGACCGCAGGGTTCGTTGGGGCCTGGAAAGAGCCCGTGTGACTCCCGTCTGCTTTGCATCTGCCTTTCTCTAGGCCCCAAGAGAGAGCTGACCTCCAGTTCTAAAGTCTCTCCTAAGAAAGTGAAGTGGTCCAGCAATGTCTGCTCACCCCAGTCGTCCCTCTTCTCAGATGCTGACAGCTCAGAGTCTGGAGAGACGTTAAGTCCCAAAGGTAGTATTGAGGGGTAATCCAACCCCAGGTGGACAGAGCTGGGTCGTCTGACAGTGTTTGAACCAAAGCTGCTGCAGCCTCGGTCAAACATCCTTCTCTCCCGCCTGGGGCCTCACGCCAGGATCTTCCCCAGCCTCCCAGCCTGTCTCCTCCTCCAGTCCATCTGTCCGTGAGCCAGAGTCTACACCCAGGGCTGCTCTGGCCCTTCCCTGCTCACGGCTCCCACTGTCGCATCACCACAGTCCAAGCTCTGGTCCTGCTTGGGCTCCCGCCAGCGCCCCAAGCACAGAACGCTCACTGTGGACAGTTGTGTCCTCTCGTCTCCACTGAATCCGTCCCCTTGGCCAGGGCACTCCACCTCCCTCCTTTGCCTAACGAGCTGCCCCTCTCCCCACACCCACAGGTCCTGCTTCTAGTAGGTCTTTCTGGAGTGCTGTAGGCCTTCCCATCGCCCACTTCTCTCTCCAGATCCCCGGTGCTGCTCCCCCGTCCATCTCCCCAACCCCCTTCCCTCGGACACGTGTCACTCTGGGCTCCACAGCCATTCCGGGCCCACTTTCTGGACTGAGCATGCTTCGTGGGTTGGCACTGAGCACGACTCACCTCTGCAGGCCTCGGCCTAGCAGTGCCTAGCCTGATGTATGCGGCCTTAGAATGCCCACCAGGCACCTGTAGAGGTGGCGAGGTGCGGTGCCCTTCCCAGCCCCTTCCTGCCCTCAGCTCTCGGTGACTTCCCACAGGGTAAACTGTCAAGCCACGAGTCCCAGTGTGGGACACAGAGGCCTGAGGACTGTGCCCTTCTCCTTCCCACTGGGCCTTGACTCACCCCCAGGCCCGAGGTCCTGGCCAGTATGTGCCGTGGGGCAGGTGGTGGGAGCAGGGAGTCGGTCGTACGTCTTCCTCTGTTCAAGCCCTCCTTCCCCACTCCTACCTGGGAGCCCTTCAAGGGCAGGGCCTCAGTCTGCTGGTTTCTGGGCATGCTTTACACCCAGCACACGGCCAAGTCCTGTCTCAGGATGCTTTTGGGTGAATGTTTGTAGTGTCCTTTTTTCCCCTAAGTACTCCTACTCCTCTAACAAGACCCAACTGCAGTGTCCCCTCCTTCAGGAAGCCTCCCCTGACTTCTGTAAGCACGGTCCATCTCTCTCTCCTGGGCCTAATACCTACCCGTCCTGCCTGTCTCCAGACTCGATTCTGACTGGCTGTCCAGGTCCGGCTTTTCCCCACATAGGGAGCTTCCCGGGAGCATCTGGGTTGGACTCCCCAGCATTGTCGTGCGAAGGACCTGGCCCGTGAGGGTCCTGGGAGGCGTTTGTTAAATGATAGAATGAATAAACGAGCAGGATTTATTCCGAGCGTTGCTTCATTCCTGTCCGACTGTTCTACCCCAACTGCCTCTTCTTTATTCTGACCATCCTTCCACAGCATCCCAGAACAGACTCCCAACCCCCAAAGGCAGCCCACGGACAACCAGGCAAAGCCCCCAGACGCTGAAGCGGAGCCGAGTGACCACCTCCCTTGAGGCTCTGCCCACCGGGACAGTGCTGACTGACAAGAGTGGGCAGCACTGGAAGCTGGGGACCCTCCAGACCAGGGACAACCAGGGCATTCTCTACGAAGGTACACTCTGCCCGTGGGTAGGCAGGGGCTGGGCGGGGCCATTTCAGCACCAGGACAGGGAGCGGGATCCCTTTCTAAGAATCAGAATGGAAGCCAGATCCCTAGCTGCAGACCTGCCTCTGGGCCACCTTCCCTTAGGCTCAGAACTGTGTTCTTACCCCTCTGCAGGAGCCACACAGGTTTAAATGAGTACAGCAGGCTGGAAGTGAGGCGATTGGGAGTGGTGGGGACTGTGGCCAAATGGAAGCCAGTGCCCTCTGTAAAGAGTGTACTTCTCTAAAGCTCCACCTAGTGTTGTCGCTAGGGAGTGTGGGCCCCGTGGCCACGTGAAAGGACAGTTGTTCTGGCGAGCCTTCAGGGACAGGATGGACCCCCGTGGGGATCTGGTTTGGATGTTGAGGTAGGTATGTTGTAGGCACAGAGCAAGGAGATAGGAAAGGTCTGTTGATTACGCAGTCGGGTCTTGTGGCTGGGGGAGGCGTCTGCCACAGGCCAGAGCAGGGCCTTGTCTGGGTCTTTGCCCAGCCCCGGAGGAGGGAGCGCGCCTGTCAGCTTTCTGTCAGCGTGTTCAGCCTGCGGAAAGGGAGAGGTGTGGCGTGGGCTTCAAAGCTGCTGCTGCTGAGGAGCGATCCCAGGGATCTCTGCCTGTGGAGGAGAGAGGGAGGGAAGAGACAGCACAGAGGGAGAGGCGTGACGCAGCCCAGCGACCACCTCCGCTGACCCTGCAGGGCTCCAGAGCAGAAAGGGTCCCCCAGCACGGTTCCATTTTGGTTCCATTTTGGTTCCATTTTGGCCAGAGCCGTTGGGTCTTGTCCCCTCCCTCAGTCAGTGGATACAGGTCACCAGGCTTGGCATGTGGCTTTGGATGAGGCCAGTGTGCACAGGATGAGCTTCATTCCCCGGCTGCAGGCCGATAGCACGTGGGGAATACTGTCTGCCGGGGAAGCCCATCCAAGACAGCACCAAAGGTGGTCATCGGGCTTGGTCGCAGGGCCCTGTGCCCAACACGCACCCAAATCCCGACCTCCCAGATGGTCTACACAACCACTTAGGCCTGGTGAGCCCCTGCCGTCGGTTAGAAGGTACGGGGACTGCGTCAGCCCGGGTCCCCAGCCCTTGTGAGGAAAGCAGGCTCAGCCTGCCGGGGCCTCCCCTTCCTGCACAGCCGGGTGTTGACAGACAGGCCAGGGAAAGGAACCTGTTAGAAACTAGGGAAGAGGAGGTCTCGGGAGCCAAGGATGCACTTGCCCCTGTGGAGTCGAAACGGGGCTCTCCCACTTTCCCTGCAGGCATAACCTTGCTCCTCTTGTTCCTCAGCTGAGTCCGCCTTGGTCCTCGCCTGCCAGTCAAATCCCCAGAAGCACAAGTTCTCACTCAAACTGGTGAGTGGACGCGGGGCCACTCCTACGGAAGGGTCTGAGGCTTCTGCAAATGCACCTCACCTTCTGAGCCCCTCTGTGGGTGGGGGAACTCAGGCTAGAGCCAGGGTCCCCTGGCCTGCAGAGAGCATGGAACCTTGGTGGGGCAGGCTCCCTGTCGCCTGGCTGCCCTGGCTGTGGGGCCTGGGGAGCACCTCCCTGCTCCAGCTGTTTCCTGTCTGAGAAATGGGGAGGTGACAGCCTGTCCCGTAGCCCACCTCCTCACTGCCTTGTTTAGCGCGTATTTCTTTAGCATCTGCTGCATCGCACTGTGTAGCAGAGAAGCAGCCAGATGGGGTCCGTGCACCGAGGAGCCGGTGAGCTCCCGGGCCGAGTCCTTAGCCCAGGGCTCGTGGTGGAGTGTGAGCCCCGGGCCCAGGCTCTCTAATGACAGGTAGCAGCTGCTGCTGACAGCCTGTTATGTGCCTGACCTGAGCCAAGTGGTTCAGAAGCTCTTTGTGGAATCTTCTGGATAAGCCTGTGGGGTGGCGGCACAGTTCACCTGGCACACAGTAAGCAGCACCAACCGAGCTCTGTTACCGTTACCGTCACTGCCGTCACCACCCGCACTAGGGAGGCGGAAATGAGCCTCCCTCTGTGTTCACTGCTGGATCTGCTCAGCTCCTGGGTCTCAGAGCCGGGGGTGCTGGGCTGTGAGTCGGACCTGGGCCCTGCCTGGAGTAGCTCCAGCCTGGTGGGAGAGACACGTATCCCCCTGCCAGCCAGGAGAGGGACAGCTTCAAGGGAGGGAGCCCGGCTGACCAGAGAACATCCGGAGCCTCCCACCTGCTGGGAAGGCAGTACTGTCCACGTGTGTCTGAAAGGGCAGGTGCTTAATGTTTGTTCATTCATACATTCCTTCATTCATTTGTTCACCAACCCTTTCCTGCAACTTCCTGTGAGTTAACTGGGTGCTCGGGGCTTCTGCAGAAGTGGGACCAACCCAGTTTCTGCCCCCAAGGAACCCTGGCCGGGGTGTGGGCACAGGGAGGGAGGTGCCTCATGAGGTTGGTCAGGGGCTCAGCAGTGTGCAGGCGGCAGCTCCCTTTTGCCAAGTGCATGCTGTATGTCTCCCCTGCACTGGGGCAGCAGCAGGGGGTGGGCAGAAGGATGGATCGGGGCAGGGAGCCAGGCTCATGAGTGATTTGTGGCCCCGGCCTGTTGGGAGCCTGTTCTATGAGACCCTGGGCCTGGTATTTCACCAGCCCCGTGGTGTGAATTCTTTCGGTGAGCCTCCATGGTAGCTCCTGCATTCCCATTGAGCAGACAAAGAAATAGGGACCCCATCCCTGACCCACAAGCAGCAGCCTAGAGGTTGCTTGGTTCCCTGCTGTGTCTACAGTGCCCAAGACAACCCTTCGCACATAACGGGGAATGAACGCATGAACAGCAGAGCTGGGACGTGAACTCAGCTGTTTGACCCCGTGCTCTTACGGACATGGTTGCCTTCACTGTGTTTAATTAAAATGCTTGGTTTGGCTGCTATTTAAAAACAAGACGGGTCAACAGGTGATGTGGTGGTTAAGGTGCTGGACTAGCCAACCATGGTTTGAGTCCTGGACATGGCGACCTGCTTTCTCACTTTCCTTTCTCTCTATTTCTGTGTCTCTCTCTGGTCAAATTAAAATAAATGAATGAATAAATAAAATTAAATAATTGTTAAAAATAAAAATGAATAAAGACAACCGGGACCAGCAGGTGGCATAATGGTTATGTTGCTGGACTCCCACATAGTCGACCAGAGTTTGAATCTTGAATCCAGTGGCTTACAACTCACACCAGGTGCATGTGCATGCGTGCCCAGGATCCCGAGAGGAGAAGGGATTGAATAACTGCACCCAGTGTGTGTTTAAGTGACCATGTCCGGGACTCGAGCTGCGGTTGACTATATGGGAGTCCAACGACAGCCATTACGTCAACCGCTGGTCCTGGGAACTTGGTTCTGATTCAGGGAATTCAGTGGCCAGCTTTGTCTCTGGTATCACCCTGGGGTATTAAGTGGCCATTGGTGACGTGGACCTTTGTCTAAGAGAAATCAGTATGACAGCTTTCTGCCACTCCTGTCCCCACCAGGATGCCAAGGATGGACGCTTGTTCAATGAGCAGAACTTCTTCCAGCGGGCCGCCAAACCTCTGCAAGGTATTGGCCTGGGAAGTCAGGAAGAGGGAGGGTCGGGGTACCAGCCTGCTCACAGCCAGTAGCTTCTCTGTGTAGTGTGGCACCACAGGGAGGGAAGGCCCACGTGTGTACCCACCCATGCCTGTAGCCTGACTCCTGTCACCCCTCGGGCCTCGGAGAACAGTGTATGCTGGGGCTAGCTCGTGAGAGTCAAGGACCTCATTTTCAGGGATACTGCAAGCTGGTCGTCATACGCGGCCTTTATTAAAAATTAAGTTGTGCACACCCAGACGTGGCCACGTATGCTGCTAGGACACTGTGCTCCACAGGCTGAGAGCACATGGGAGGGAAACCCAGATCTGATTCCAGGCCCACCTAAAGACGAGGCATGGCGGGCTATAAACCCAGCAACTCGGGAGGCTGAAGCAGAAGGATCGTCATCCCAGGTCTGGTCTGGGCAGCACAGCAAGACCCAGTCTGAGAAAAAGCAGGGCATGGTGGGCATGGTGACGTGTTCCTGTGGTCCCAGCTGGGAGGCTACAGCAGTAGCATCGTTACCTGGGCAGATCATGTCTAAAGTATAAATAGGGGCCAGCAGGTGGCATGGTAGTTAAGATACTGGACTCCTACATGGCAGACCATGGTTCAAGTCCTGGATCCAGCAGCTTTAAAATCATACCAGCTTCAGGACCAGCAGTTGGTGTAATGGCTATGTCACTGGACTCCCATGTAGTCAACCGCAGTTCGAGTCCTGGACCCAGTGGTTTAGACACACCAGGCACGGTTGCGGGCGTATCCAAGATCCCGAGAGAAGGGAGGAGAAGGGATTGTGGCATGGCCGTCCTCCCAGCAGTTGATTTCTCACTTTCCCTCTCACTGTCTCTCTCTCTGGTTAGCACATGTGCCCTATGGCAAACAAACAAACAAACAAAATTAATTAATGTACGAACCTAAAATCAAATAAATTACATTCAAAACAAAGAAACAGTCTTCATTTCCTAATTATTTTTTTTCTTTCTTTCTTTCTTTCTTTGTTTCTTTCTTTCTTTCTTTCTTTCTTTCTTTTTTAGCTTTTTGCCAAAGGGAAAGTGTACTAACTAGAAAGAGACAGAGATACAGAGAGAGAGAAAGTGAGAAATCACCCCCTGGGGGTATGACCATGCTGCAATCCCTTCTTCTCTTGGGGTTTTGGGCATGCATACAAACATATCCAGCGTGATATTCAAGCCGCCAGGTCCGGGACTCAAACCATGGTCGGCCATGTGGGAGTCTGGCCACCTTAACCACCGCGCCACCTGCTGGCCCCTGCACATTTTCTATTACTGTACTGGTGAGGTTATCTACATCTGCCATATCTGTAGGATGACAGTAACTGCCCAATGGCATGCTGCTGTGCATCACTTCCCCATTCCATATACAGTCGTGTCAGAAGGATAGCTAGAAGATGGGCACAGTGGGCAGTATTTACACCACTGAAATTGGCAAACTATCCGTCAGGACTGTCCCTCCCTGATAGCACAACATTGATTCTCTACCACCCCACTGAGTTCCCAGATGATAGACAGAGGCAGAGGCAGATTCTACTGGCAGCATGGCCGGTTTAGAAATTTATTTATTTATTTAACAAGAGGACAAATCCTTTTTTTTTTTTTTTTTTATTAGAATTTTTTAAAAGAATTTTTTAGGGGAACCGCC